TGTGATTGTTTCTGTACAGTTCTCTGAGATAACTTCTGTTGTGACTTGGCACTATGGAAATAAGCTGAATTGAATTAAATGCATTGTGAATGTTTTGGCATTGGTCTATCATGGTGGAGAAGAGCCAAATAGAACAGCTCTGGATTTACTGGTCAGTCTACTTTTCAGTCCTTGTGGTCTTGAATTATGGATCATGATTGAACAAACAGGGCAGCACGGTGGCGCAACTGGTAGAGCAGCTGCCTCTCAGCGAACAGGTTCCTGGTTCAAACCCCGGTCCAGGAGCCTTTCTGGGTGGTGTTTGCATGTTCTCTCCGTGCATGCGTGGGTTTTCTCCGGGTACTCCGGTTTCCTCCCACAGACCAAAAACATGCATGTTAGGCAGATTGGTAACTCTAAATTGTCCCTAGGTGTGAGTGAGAGAGTGAATGGTTGTTTGTCTCGTTTGTCTCTATGTGGCCCTGTGATGGACTTGAGACCTGTCCAGGGTGTCCCCCGCCCCTCGCACAGTGATTGCTGGACATGGGCACCAGCGACCCCCGTGACCCAAAATGGAATAAGCGGGTAAAGATAATGGATGGATGGATGGATGGGATAAGATTATATTTTTTAAAAATCGATGTATTTTAAATATCTTCAAACTTAAATACAATACTCCACAAAAACATATGCCAAGAAACCCGGGCTGCAGAGCAAGAGTTAGCATGGATGTTAACTTAACAATGAAAATGCTACAGAGAAGCTAACATGATTAGCATTGTGTTTATGCAAAAGATAGACGTTTCATCACAGGTTTCACATCAATTATATGTGAAGAGGACATGTCCCCCTCACATTTAAAAATATTCATTTGGACACCCACCCACACACACATTTACCATGAAATAGTAGTTCACTCAGCACTGTTTCTACATGTCACTACGTGAGTGCAGCTACAGCGTGCACTCTCAGGACATTATTACATGCAATGTTCCCTCAGTGCGGACTGAATTAGGCAAAAGGGCCTTCTCCTACTCCGCTCCTGTTTCCTGGAATATCTTGCAAAAAGATCTGAAGCTCTCGACCTTGACCTCTCTAAGTGACTTCAAACATCTGCTAAGTTCATGGCAATAACCAATGCAGACATGTTCCTGTTTTTAGTATTGACCGGACTGGGTGTATTCTACATCACTTTACAATATAGCTGCTTTTATTTTGTTTTTTAATATAATTTTCTCTCATTTATTTTTCCCAATTTATATGCTTTTGTAGTATGACATATCCTGAGATATATTCATACTGTTAAAACGGATTCTTTCATTTTTCTGGACTGTATAACATGCGTGCATTGAATTTAATAAAATGTGGACGTGAGACGTTAATTATCTTTGACTCACCAAACGAGTGGGTCATTTATTAACAGAATCAAGTTTAACACATCACACATTTACATTAATTGGCAATAATTGAAAATAACGACAGCTTATTAATCAGTTTTACAGGAGTGAGAACAATACGGCGATTGTTTCCTCACTTTCAGCAGAACAGCAGACATCAAATCACACGGCGGTGATTGAAAACTTTGCTTCAGACATTTCTAAAAATATCTGTAATGATTTTTAGCAGATAGAAGAATTTTAAAGATGAAGTTTAGAGGAAGGGAGATGGTGTGTGTATGAGTGAAAAGTGTTGACAGAACGACACCCTCCATCCGACCCAGCTTTCCTCGGTACGCTCAGTAGTGGACTAGACTCATTACCTCTCTGACGATGAATCAGCTGAAGAGGAGCTCCAGTTAACGCTACCGTTCCAGCGTCTCCGTAGGATGGCAGAGATATATCCGGAGTGGTGACGGGACTTCGTCAACAACAGTTCACCTCAACGAGTGGACTTCACATGAGTGGGGTTCGTCAGAGTTCCACTCAGAGGTGGAAGATGTTATAATCCCAATACTCGGAAGAGCCTTAAATCATGGCTGGACTTCTGTCCTCCCAAACGAGTGGAGCTGCAAACTCTCCACTCGACTCCAACGGCAACCTGGGTTGAACTAGGAAGTACCAACATTTAAAGGGCTCTATTTCTGGTTCATTTGGGAGTTTCTGATTGGCCGATGGACCAAAACAGAGGTGTGTTTTGTGATGTAAGGTGTTATGAAAAGTCAAGGAAAAGATTAAGATTGTTTAAGAACAGACAAAGAGATATTACGAAGAAACCAGACTTCGTGGAGTCCCTTCTCCCAGTATCTTGCTGTAAAAGTTAAACATGACATTTCTTTTCAGTAAACTTTCAGTTGACCGAAACTTGAACTTTGACACACTTACAACTTCGCTCATTGAAGACAGAAAATCAAGAAATGCATATTAACCTGATTTCTTCTTTGAATGAGGATTAAGAATCATTATACTGTTTCACAGTTAATTAAAATGATTAGTTCACTTCAACATTTAAAAATGGTTTGAACTAAAACACAATTTGATTATCAAAACATTTGTAAAATAGTAATGATCGTAGAGAATTGTCCCTTTTTACTTGATTAATTCAAGAAAGAAAGTCTCAGGATGGGTCAACCTGTATTTCTGGATGCAAATCAATGAAATGACAGTTCTGTCCCAAATGGTCCTAAGGTCAAGGTTTTGAGATCAGGCTTAGTTCACTACACTTTCTTTTATGATTGTCTATGGTTGTCATCAGTCTTTGTTAAAATCAGGTCTCTCTTGTAAATGAGTCCTTGAGGCTCAATTAAACTAACCGTATAAATAAATGTTGACTGTTTCTATTTCTTCATGAGCAAATCCATTCCACTTGATTAATAGGAGAACACAAACCACTAAAAGTCCACTCTGAGTTTTCCTGGTCACCTACAACAACTCACCACAGAGCATAGGTCACTTAGCTTGGTAGGGTGCTCATTTCTGAGGGGTTTTTGTCAATGGGGTGGGGGTAAGAGGGAGAGACATCTCTGTTTTGCATGCTAGCTTAGCGCTACGTTAGTGCTGGCAATTACTGCCCTGGATGTGTGTGGGTGGTGGTGGGGATATGATGCATGACAGAAGCAAAGCTCTACTTCTATAGCATCTTAGCTAGCACATTTGTTTTGCCCACTGCTAGCTTAGCGCTACGTTAGAGCCGGTAGTTGTCGACCAGTGTGTGGGGGTGGGGTGGGGGTGGGAATGGGGGTGGGGGGGTAGGATGTGTGAGAGAAGTGGAGCATGCTTTATTCACACAAGGAGAGCTGTTGGCCAGACTACTTCTTTTGCCATGCTCTCTAAAATAGTTATTGATTCAAGTGTTTACTTATGCAGGTACACACAGATGTTTAACAACCTGTTAAAATACACCAGAATTAGGGCTTTAACAGACTACTCGAGTAATCTACACATCAATTTCTAGGACATCTATTGAGTTGTTAAATTTCACTTCGAGTATTCGTAGTGACATCATTACGTCGCAGTTACATCATTGTGTCATGTGATCCGCACCGGGTGCGGGCTACAAAATGGATTCCTTCAAGCAGACAGATGGAGCAGAGCAGGCCCAGTCTTGGCAAACAGGTAGAAATGCATCAGTAGTATGGAAATATTTCACTAAAGATGAATCTTCCGGTTCAACTACCGTAAGGAAACAGAAAATGAATCAACTTCCTGACTTTTTGGAGCTCGTTGCAAACCGGTGTTACACCATATTCTGTGACCACTGTACATTGTGACTGTAGGGGGCGGTGTTGCATGCACTGTTGCAGGTCACAGAATATGGTGTAACACTGGGTCCAATGACCAAACCAGAACCAGCTTCCTCTGACCTTGTTTCACAAACAAATAGCAAAAAATATTAATCTTTAAACCTATTAAAAAAACCTGTAAACATATTAAAAACTAAACCTAATGTGCACCACAGCTGGCGGTGGTGCGGGGTGGTCGACCGCCCCACTGTTTTTAGTTTAGTTTTTTTACGTGTCGCACGTTTCTTTCACTTTTGCAGCTTAATAATAACAACTAATAGTTTAGTTTTTCCTATGACTTATTTGCAGTATGATAAATGGTAGGAGCACAATATATGCTCCCGATGTTTTGTTGGCCTTTTTTGTAAATAATTACTTTTTTTTTGCCATTTTATTTATTTATTTTTGCATCTTGAGATCCGATGATGTCATCAACTACTCGAGTTCTACTCAAGTTTTATTATGTTAATGTCGAGTTTAAAAATTTTGTAGTCGTTCAACCCCTAACCAGAATGCAGGAAATGGCATCCACTTTATTCTAAATTTTATGGGGGAGGACCCCCAGACCCCCTCACCAGTGTCTCCCACCCACATTACAAATGCTTCTGATGCCAATGCGTTTCATAGACATGATATGATCACTTCAGCTATTTTTTACTGACATACAGTTTCCAGGGTTCAGTGAAGAAAAATATGAAAACAGATGTAAAAACAAACAGCTTTACAGCCACATTGTTTCTACTACATGAAGCTACAGTGACACTGCTTGGACAAAGCACCGTGTAGCAACTACTGTGGTGACGCTAAGTGGGAGCACAAACGTAACAATGTAAAATTTTGTCATTTAAAAAAACATTCAAAATGGATTCAATGTTGGCAATGTAATGCACCCCAAAAATTGTTTTACCTCTCCCTAATAAACTGTTTGTTTGAATTCATGTAAAAGTCTCCCTAATTTACAATGCAGATATTTATTAAATGGATTTTGTATACAAGGAAACACACACAAAAGTTCATGTAAATCTATATAAATGGTAGCCTATGTGGATTCTGACCCATGCTGTCTTATGATCTTTTGTCTAGTTTGTCCATCTATTGTGATCTTACTATCTACACACTAAGTGTTCTCACATTGGGCTTGAAGTACTGCAGGGACCTAAACACTGATCGCAGAGAAATGACACCAAAGCCCAAGTATTTGTTCTCTGATAGTAACTCACTGAAAGAGCTTATTTGTTCTAAAAGCAGTGCTTTCCCCTCAGGTGTGAGGTGATAAATGAGCAAAAGCAAAGAGGATGATTACCTGCCCACATGACGAGCACCACAACTATGATGATGAGTTCTCCAGCCCTCAGCTGGGCCTGACCCACCTCCTCCATCATCACCTCATCTGGAAAGAGAACACACACATAGAAACACACGAGTAGAGTCAACAAAAATATTATAGAAAACACTGCAGTTCATTGTCCAGAAGAGTGAATGTGAAGCTTCCATCCCCCTAAAACTCTGCAGGGAAAGATAAAAGAACCAAACAGGGTGACATGAGGGCGGAGAGTCTGACAAAGGTAAATTCTCCACTCTGGTTGGTGTAATTAAAGCTAAAAGAGAGCAGCGGTCTGCAGAGATGGAGAACTGGACCCCTACCCCATCACTCACTGGGTTTCCCTTGCTGACAGTGTTCTGGCAGCTGCAGCATAACACCAATCACAGGCTTAAAGGTTGGAACACAGTCTGAGTTACAACCTCTCTGACTCTGTTGTCGAGCTTTGTGCTTTTTCCTTTACCCTGCTGGTCAAACTGTGTCACTTATCCAGCCAGAGCCTGCCTGGCTTGGCTTTGTCGATTATCTAGGTGAAACAGAATATTGTTGTCACTGTTTTGTCTGCACTTGAAATTTGTGCTGATATCCTCAGAAGGAGTTGATCACACTGGTAGAAGGTAGCTGGTATTAAAAGATCTGTTGCAATGTAAAAACATATTCCTGGTGCTGGCTTTCTGGTGTCACAGCAAATAAAGTCATCAAGTTAAATGACGGTTTATTCATTTTACTAACAGCAGAAGAAGGTGCTACATTTAACTTCTTCTTTTTCTTCTTCTTTCGGCTTTTCCCTCTTCAGGGGTCGCAACAGCGAGTCATCCTCCTCCACCTCACTCTGTCCTCTGCATCCTCTGTCCTCACTCCAACTACCTTCATGTCCTCTCTAACTGCATCCATATATCTCCTATTTGGCCTTCTCCTGACACGTTTCCCTCCTCGTGGTCTTCAACTAACAGTAGCATAATTTCTGCCGGCACCCTGTTTGTCAACAGCACTGGTGGCGGTCGTTGTTAACCCGGGCCTCAACCGATCTGGTATGGTTTTGCTTTGATGAACTCGCATTATGGTTTTGGCAAAAGTGTTTTACATCGGATACCATTCCTGACACAACCCTCACTATTTACCCGGACTTGGGGCCGGCACAAGAGATACACTGGCTTGTGCTCCCTAGTGGCTGGTTTAAGGTGCTACATTTAACAAATATAAATAAATAAAGGCTTATGATTCCTTGTCAATTCCTTGGTCAAAGGAAAAGTTTACAAGTCTGTCTGGATAAGATTAGGAATGAGATCATCAGAGCTACAGCACAGGTTGAACAACTGGGACATAAAGTTAGAGAGACCAGACTAAGATGGTTTAGACATGTCCAGAGGAGGGACAGTGGGTATATTGGTAGAAGGATGTTAGAAATGCTGCTGCCAGGGAAAATACAAAGAGGAGATATATATAGATGCAGTTAGAGAGGACATGGAGTAGATGGAGTGAGGACAGAGGATGAAGAGGACAGAGTGAGATGGAGGAGGATGACTCGCTGTGGCGACCCTTGAAGAGGGAAAACCTGAAAGAAGAAGAAGACTCCTTGAAGGAATGCATATCGTGCATCCCCTTACCTTCAAAGGTCTTACACAAACATCTCCTACAATTGTTAACGCTCAGAGTATGTGTTGGGGATGAGTCTCAGCTGCTACCATACCAAATTGTAGGTCAGTATATGTACAACTGACTCAATTACTTCTTTTTTTGGTGTGTGTGTGTGTTTGCAAAGTTTTATCAGCTGCGATGATTGCGCTGAAGTGAGATGGCTTCAAATGTTAATCAGTTATAAAGGTACAATCGTTGATTATGAGTGTTTCATTAAAATGTGTCCACTTGTTCTTCATATATTTTGCTAATAGACAGACAAATGAGCACACACACAAGCAATTACACAATCGTCTGCTGCCATGAAAGGTGGCCAATAGTTAGACGTTAAAATAAAGGGTTTAGTGAGTACATCTAATATTCATTACAACTGCTCTATAGGATGGACAAAAATCTGATTTATTTTTCAAATGATGGATGAGTAATGCAGCACAGATGCTTTGTGACAGCCCTCATATCACATTACCAGTGATATAAGTTCAAGCAGTCACTCTAAAAGCTAAATGCCAACTCCTTTATTTACAATACGACTAGTTCCAGGTCCTGGACTTATTGATGTGCCCCCCAGGAGTTGAATGGCATTTTCAAAACACTTCAGGACCCAGCCTTGTCTGGATGGATTCATAGTGGTGTCTCCACATGTCTATGGTCTGGCATACTATTGGGTCTCCTGTTACCATGGTGATCTTTCTGAGCCTCAGGTCTGACAGAAGTGGTGGGTTTAATACACTTTAAAAGGTGGATAATAAATGTTTTTTGTTGCGAGGGCAGACCTTTGGCACAGGAGACATGAAGCTGAAGCTTCCAAAGAAATCCGGGGAGAAAATGACAGCTGTGTGGGTGTTAAGTCATCTTGTCAGCATTGAGGACATCAAATGTGAAATGTAAGTAGCTGATACTAAGCCTCTGGAGAAAAGCAATAAATAAATATTGGTTAATATTGTAGTGAGTCACGTGAGGTACGTGTCACTTGTTGTATGACAAATATGAATTATATATGCATACAATATTCACGAGTTCTTCATTTTTCTGACTGTAAATGTCGTGCATTGAATTTAACAGAAATGTAACGAGAGACGTTGTTTATCTTTGACCCATCAAATGAATGGAATCATTTATTTTCAGAATCAAAGTTTAACATCAAACATTTACATTAATTTGGCAAAATATGAAAATAATAACAGACAGTTTCACAGAAAATGAACTTCAAATCACTCGGCGGTGATTTGAGGACTTTGCTTAAGATATTTCTAAAATATCTGTACTGATTTATGAGAGAGAGGTGGGTTTTAGAGTGAAAGGAGATTATCTTACAGAGAACTGTGTGAGGGAAGTTTAATCTGTTTAACCAGAAATTGCACGCTCCGTCAGATCTCCAGCCCGTCCACGGTACACTTTAGTCGAAGAAGAAGCCTTTACCTGGTTTGACGATAGATCAGCTCAGTAAGCATCCTTCAGACTGTTTCCAGCGCCTCCGTTAAGCACAGCTAAAAATCCTCGGAGAGTCGTGCGTGGTTAGCTCAAAACAGACTTATAATCCCAAACGTCCCTGGTTCTTCATAACTCCAAACTCTTCATAACCGGCTGCACTCTCAATCTGCTCATTCTGTTGGACTATCGGACCTGTTGTCAGCTCTCATTCCAACATCTCTCAGAACTCTCATTCTCTTGGAATTCTGGAATCCATAATTCTCTCTTCCTTCTCTTCTCTATGAACTGAGAAGTTGCCACATTTTATTTGGGTCGACTTCCTGTTCAATTTAGAGCTTTCTGATTCGTGGAAGGACCAGAAAGAGGAGTGGATTTGTGACGTAAGATGTTATCATAAGTCAAGGATTGTTTACAACATACAGAAAAGATTATTGCAGCAACAGCAGACTTCGTGGAGTCTCACACTTTGTAATCTTTTCAAATAGTAAAACATGACATTTTTCTCGGTAAACATTTTAGTTGACCGAAAACCAACCTTTAACATACTTACGACAGCTTGCTCATTTCAGACAGAAAATCAAGAAAGGCATATTCAGGTGATTTCTTCTCTGAATGAGGAACAAAAATCATTACTTACTGTTTATGTAAAATAAAAATTAGTAGTTCTTTTCAACCTGTAAAGCATTGAGTGAACTAACACAATTTGATTATCAAAACATTTGTAAGACAGTAATGATTATAGAGGATTGTCTTTTCTGCTTGATTAATTCAAGAAAGAAAGTTCATCAGATGGTTCAGACTTATTCAGATCAATGAAAATAACAGTCTCTGTCCATCTGGTATATTTGAGGTCATCTGGTTCACTACAATATACTTAGAATTTCTTTAGTATTCTTGAATTAGCTTAACAGCTTTTGATTATGAGTCCTGTAATGATCAAAGCTTATTATATCATTCATGATAATCTAACTTCTTCACTGGCAGGCTGTTCATTTGTCTCGTAATCCACTTTGCTTTTAGTCAAAAAAATCAATGTATGACCAAAACACTGAAATAAAATACATTGAGTAGTACTTATGCAAATTCGGAGTGTGCATATCAGCTCCTCCTCAAGGTGTGTGTAATTTCAGTTTCATCTTCTGTATCAGGCCTATCGGCTGCCGACTGTGCACAGGTTAGATTACAGGACTGAACAAATGCTGCTCACCTATACCTCATTTGCCTTAGTAAAACTGCAAACTTCAACACAAAGAGAAGCACTGAATATAAAGAAAACTGAGTTTGACTATTAGCAAGAGGAAAACCACAGGAAGACATTAATAAATTTAGTGGTATCTCTACAGAGTGAGGGAAGAACGGAGCGTGAGACTGACAGACAGATTGGTGCAGCGTCTGCGGTATTGTGGACTCTGTGCCGGTCTGTTGTGGTGAAGAGGGAGCTGAGCTGCAAGGCAAAGCTCTCTGTTTACTGGTCGGTCTATGTTCCTACCCTCACCTATGGTCATGAACTCTGGGTAGTGACCGAAAGAATGAGATCATGAATACAGGCGGTTGAAATTAGTTTCCTCCACAGGGTAGTTGAACTCTCCTTTAGAGATAGGCTGAGAAGTTCAGTCATCTGGGAGATACTCGGACTAGAACCGCTGCTCCTTCACATTGAGATGAGCAGGTTGTGGTGGTTCGGGCATCAGGTAAGGATGCTTCCTGGTTCTGCGCCTCCCTAGGGTGCTTGAGGCATGTCCAACTGGGAGGAGATCCCCGGGAAGACCCAGGACATGCTGGAGAGATTATGTCTCTCAGTTTGCCTGGGAATGCCTTGGAGTCCTCCCAGAAGAGCTGGAAGTGGTGGCTGTGGAAAGGGATGTCTGGTCAGTCCTGAGAAAACTGCTACCCCCGAGACGTGACATCGGGACAAGAGGAGGATAATGGATGAATGGATGGATGCATGGATGGTGCCTCTACAGTTCATATAAACAGTGCTTCATTTCTCATAAAAAGTG